CATCTTTCCTGGAAGCCCTGAGCTATCTGCTAGGTAGAAACAACAGGGGTAATTGAACACATCTGGTGAAGGGGAATTTTCCGATGTGGTTTTGAATTGTCAAACTTTCTACCGGTATGCTTTTGTAATTTTAAAAATCGAAGACAAAGTTAAATGAAAGAAAGAGAACTGTATTTGCAATCATCATCAAATCCATTGGTGAACAAAAAAAGAATAGAATTGTGAGATTTACTGCAATCGAGATGGCTTCATAGTACTGCTACAGAGTACCTTATGCCTGGTTTATGGTATGGCACGGGTACTAATGGGGACAGCTGGACAAGATTTGAAATCAAAGACCTAGAAAATCTGGACTATGAGATAATGTCAATGTTGGGGGTGAGGGATGGAGCTGGGGGTGGGGCTGAAAGGGGAAACAAGCCAGAGGTACCAGTCATTAATTAAACAAATATCTATTAAATAACTTTGTGAAGTATGGACTAAGTGCTTGAAAAAGATAAGATTCGTTGATTCACACACACAAAAATGTAAACCAACCCCAAGGAGCTTACTCAACAGTCAGAGGAGACAAACCCAGCACATATTGAACCATTAGAGAACCATATACGGTGGTATTTCAGTGCCAAGGGGAGCAGAGCCAGCAGTAAATGCTGGGCTCTAGTGGCCTAGTAAGTTAAGCATGGGCTGCTAACTGAAAAGCCCAAAGGTGGAACCCACCAACCACTCCCTGGGAGAATGAGGCTTTCTACTCCAGCAGAGTGAAAGTCTTGGAGACACACAAGAGCAGTTCCACTCTGTTCTGTAGGCTTGCTCAGAGTCAGAATCCACACCATGGCAGTGAGTTTGGTTTTATAGATATCTGACTAGAACTTCCAAAGTTGAGGTAGTTTATGTATCACCACCCCTTTCAAGCACCAATGGCTAAATTTAAATATAAGACAGGAGACAAAACTGAGAGAGCGATTGTCAGTATTTTCCAGTTTGTAATTCTTGCATAGAGAGATTGTTATGGACATTTATTCTCATCTATCTATTGAGATGCACAACAGATGTACACCATTTCAACAGTTTCTCTCTGTACAACTCGGTGGCAGTAATTATGGCCCTCAAATTGTGCAAGTGCCTTCACCCCAGCCCCCCAATTTTTGGAGCTGTTTCCCTACCACGAACTTAAACTGACTTCCCTCGCAGGTTGCAGGCCCACTTTTAATTGAGGCAGTATTTTTAAAAGTGGCTCATAAATACTGAATTCAAGAAAAGAGAGGCATGGCAATTTAATTGTCTCGATTAACATTTTTCGCAAAAGGATAAGCTCAGGCCCTCTTAGAAATTCTATTCACTTGGGAAATCGTAGATCAAAGTTTGGCGCAGCTTTTCCTTGAGGGAGAGGTGGCCATGATTGGAAGCATGCTTCATTATCCAGTAAGCACAGTTTCAAACACATAC